AGGGAGGAAGCATATCCCGATCAGGATTGGGCATGCACCGATTAACAATCGATATTAGGGCACCTAGCAAAGTCGTTCCGAATCAGTTTTAAAAAACATTTTCCTACAAAATGAAGCGTTCGGCAGCTCTGAGAGTTTTTTACAACTGATTTAGAACGACTTTGCTGAATGCCCTAATATTGATTATTAATCGGTGTATGCCCAATTGGGTTATTTTTTGATTCAAAACGGGGTATAAAGCGTGATTCCGTACTGTAAAAGTAGGCCAAACTCAAGTGACCTATATCCAATAATATTGCGAAAACCCAATATATTGGACGACCAATAATTATTGATCCCAATAGATTGGGTGACCAATATTATTGGGACCCAATATATTGTATTGGTGCATGCCTACATATGGAACGTATCCTTAAGTAAGATGCTCGTAAAGCAGTCTTGCAGCAAAAAAATAGATTTCGACGTTTAGTATACCATTCGATAGAGAATTTAACGACGATCACGAATATTGTAACCCCACCTCTCAAAACCCTTCCTTGACTTGTAATTGTAATCCCGCAGGGATTGCGCTGAAAGCTTTAGCACTTATCTAGAGGAGCTCACGGTTAATTGCTTTTCTAATCCTCAATCATTCTTTATTTATTTGCAAACAATTGTTACGGCACCACCTACGAGACGTCAAAGTCACTCGAGATCATTCTTTATTAAGCTGCACTCAAAATACTGGAGATGACTAAAAATTTCGTTTTTTCGTCACTTTCTGTAAAAAACAAAAGTATAAGAACAGATTTTTTAGATTCCTTTTCATTGCTCAGATATTCACCTTTTACTCAGATCCATGTCAACGGCCAATTCCTTTCTCTTCATTTTTTCGAATTTCAATAAAAATCAAGCTATTTCAAAGCCAACTAGGTTAGAAACTATGGAGAATTCGATGAAGATTCTGAATGAGTCACGGACAGTGACAAACACATGTTCTTTTGACCCCGTCATAGACCTCGACTGATGTTCTTTTGACCTTTTCGCATACTTCACAGACACATAAGTTTACATAGATGTTATTTTGTCCTCATCAGAGATCGTGACTGACCTCTCGAAAATCGTATGAATCGTGCGAAAAACTTCTCCTCAAGTATACAATCAGTTGTCTCGCGTACCACATTGTAATCCCGCAGGGATTGCGCTGAAAGCTTTAGCACTTATCTAGAAGAGCTCACGGTTAATTGCTTCTAATCCTCAATCATTCTTTATTTATTTGCAAACAATTGTTACGGCACCACCTACGAGACGTCAAAGTCACTCGAGATCAACATCGAGAACATTTCTACGGCAAAGTGATCCTGCTACCGAAGCTGATGACTCATCGGACGCGCTACCAGAAGAAATGGAAGTAGATGATAACGATCAGGCCGAACCAGAGAACTTCAAGGATCGAGTCACCATGAACGGCATGGCCGACCTCTTCGAACTATGCAGGTCCAAGTGCCCGACGAAATACCTCAGTGTTCTCGTCTACACGACCTTACGGAGTTTCGGCGTTGATTGGAGAAAGTGTGACGATTTTCTTCGTAGAGAAAATCGGTGAGTTAATCAATAATTTAATATGTTTTGTTTAGAAATACAAACCACCTCATTGCTATTAGGAGCCTTCAGGGCAAGAACTTCACACAAGTGGGCCGACATCTTCATCTGCGGCGATCTCGACGAATTTCAAGGAGAGAACCGAGATGGGAAACACTCTGCAGAGTTCTTTGACTACTTTCCGGACTTCGAGGCCGCTGCAATGCAGTACACCCACGACAGATGTTCACAGAAGGCAGGCAACTTCACAGCGATGGATCTGGCGAACTTCATCGACAAAGAGTACTACTCGACAACAAACTCTGTTAGAGGCGAGTTATTTTATTTAGAAGTTTAATTAGAATCATTTTAGAATGCAATTTTTCTTCCAGACCCAGGTAGCCCTTTGATTCGTTCCGTCTCCTCCTGTCGGTTTGATCTCCGCCGCTAGGGAGCTCGATTCAAGGAGAACTCTCAGAGGCCCTATTTCGAAAGCCACGAGAGAGCAGATGTGGTCGACCATTATGAACGTACTTCAATAATTCTTGCATTGTTAGAAGATGGTCCATAAAATACCTACAACAGTTTTTTGGTGTTTTGAGGATAAATAACAGTTAGACAGTCTACTTTTTTGTATGTCCCTAAGCTAACGTCAAGCGAATTAACTATTATCAGTCACAAAAATCTAAGACACTTGATAACTAAAAGCATTTTTGATATTAAATGATTTTTTTCTTCAGTAGTCTTTTCCACGCTTATTACAGTACTAAATAATCAACTAGTGTTTCACATAAGAAAATGACAACTGTCCATCTTCTCTTCTACTGTGGAGTGTGATGAAAGGGATGAAGTGAGATATGATTCCGTTCAGGCAACTGTTCAATGACGGTAAAAGAAATTTAATTATGTCCTGCCCGTATGTTGCTCTATATTTGTCAGATGAAAAGAGTCATAATATATGATTATCGTTTTTGTTGAAATTAAACAATTGACCCTGATGAACACCTGCATGTTTCAATAATCATCTGTGGCACGAATTGTCTACGAATAGATTGCTTTTCTCTAAATAAGAGTTCTAAGCCACTCGTTCTTGAAAATGAACAACACCTGCCATTAACACTACTATAATGTTCTTTTATTGATGATGAATTATATTGTGATGAATTTCTTATTTGTAACTGGTTCACTGATGAAAGATCACATAGACCAACGCATTCGCCAATATCTAATACACGTGGATACACAATGAAATTTAATAAATGTGAGTCATCGAAATGTAATGTTAATGGACGCCTACAACATGGACTGGATGATGAACATTTATTTCTTGATAATGCATCATGTGAACGATATCCGTTATTCTCAGTTTCACCATACTCAACATCGAAATACGGTACAAATTCCTCATTTGTTGACCGTTCCTGTTTTGAATTATTATTGATACCATCATCATCTTGTTTTCGCTGTTCACTATTTGGTGAAAATGGAGAAGAATATTGGCGTGCGTATGAATCTTGTAAATTTTTACTTATAGCAACATCATACAGTTCACTCATTAAATTGTCATAAATTGTTTTATAATGCATTTTTTTATCATCAAATACTAATTCATAGGAATCTAGGATTTGTTTTACTTGTGTTACAGGTAGTTTGAGTACACTTGGTATTTTGCTTGTTAACTTTGATGACTTTTTTGAATTATTTACTAATGGACGATATATCATGTATACTCTAAACATAACCGGGTTGAAAGTTTGATTATTGTTGTTATCTAAATTGAAATACTCCTTTTTCATAATTAAACTAATTGATTTAATTGACGGACGTCTCGGTAATTGAAGTTTTTTTATGTAACTTTGATCAAGAAATCTATAACATTCAATACTATTTGACGAATAACCGGATTTCTTTAATCTTTTTTCACATGAATGGTTCGACAATAATTGACCTGATATCGCAACACTTTCGATTGTATGTTTATGGTCATCGTTTCCATCTCGTTGCAACAATCTAGGTTGATATTGAAATATAATGATAATTGTTTCATTATATTCAATAGAAAACGTATAATGAAAGCAGCGGTTTGAATCATTTTATTTTATTTAAAATTTCCGACGTTTCAATTTATTTAAAAATCATTTTCAAGATTATAAAAATACAAAGCCTAAACGGAGTGAGATAAAATTATATATATACATGCTGTGCAGTTCTTGTACTTTCTATTGTTTTCTTACTATATCTCTCTTTTCACTTTCTAATCCATTCAAGAATTAAAATAAGCTTAGTTTGCTTTTTATGCTTGTTTTAATTCTTGAATGGATTAGACAGTGAAAAAAGAGATATAGCAAGAGAATAATAGAAAGTGCAAGAACTGCACAGCATGTATATATAATTTTATCTCACTTCGTTTAGACTCTGTGTCAAGGGAGAAAAGCGCTTTTGGAATGGGCCAGAGCGGACCACATTTGTGCTGAGTGATAATTTCTATTTTTCTGTAGGTATTCTTAAGGTCCTTGTCCCCTGATTCCTTCAGAGGGCGTTTTTTCACAATTTTTTCGATTTTCCATTTCCGGCGGATTTATGTCACGCGGAAAAAAGCGCATTCCGTCCAGTCCTTGGAGCGCCGTCGGCTTGAAGAAACTTTATTGAGCTGAACTGTCCCAGAAATCTCTGTTCCCACAAGCAGAACAAAAAGGTTCCGTCTGTAGGAAAAGAATTCACAGAATAGAACACAATTGCTCCGTTATCAGGGAAATATTCCCAATAAAAGAACATGATTGTTCTGTTTTGGGGAAGAATATTGAGAGGAATATCACTAGTTTATTCTACAAGAAAACAACACGCCGGACCATTGTACGGAGTGCCCGAGTTAATTGCAATATTTCCGATGCTCAAAAGCCTAGCTTTCCTGAAGTCCATTATGAAAGTAAAAACCAAAGCAGATTGCTATCACCACTGGAATCAGCATGTTCGAAAACCTACAGACTCTGAGATTCACCCTGAAATCTTCATTTTCAGTAGACTGTATTCCAATTTTTCTTGTATTGGAAAGACCCTCATTAAAGCAGCCAATATTGCACAGATAAATTATGTGCACAAACACATTGTTTCTCAAAATACACACTCGATATTATATAAGTCTGTCAAAAGAATGGGAAAAATTATCAAAAATGGTTTGGAATGGTATGGAATGACCCATTCCAGCCTATTCCGCTTTTTATCTCTTGCTCTGTATTCTTATAACCTTGAAAGTGATTTTTCAATAAATCCAAACGTCGGAAATTTAAAATAAAATAAAATGATTCACACCGCTGCTTTTGTTATGCTTTTATATTGAAAAGCTTACCTATCAGAACTAAATAACTGCATGATTAATATATCTGCTTCGGACATACCAACAAACGGTAGAGCAGATATATTTGGTGGTTTTTCCATGCGTAAACGTCTAAATAATACATTTATAAATGATTCTGATTGATTTCTCGATGCATGTAAACTTGTATCATTTGGATAACTTATTTCGTCTGGCATCAGATTTACTTCATTAGTTTTTTCTTCAGACGTTTGTTGTACTCTATTGTAATTATGTTTCTGTTTCTTACGCTGAACTACCCGTTTAGTTGCTATTAAAAACTGATGTCGCGATCGCGAGCCAATTGTTTTATTTTGCTGAAATGATTGTACTTCGTTAAGATCGACACGTGGATGAGTTTGTTTACTAGATGAATCAGGTTGCTGTTCTGTTGTTTGAACGTTAAAGATAAGAAATGATAATAGTAGTAATAAATGAATAATCATAAGATTGCCTTTAGGTTTAATAGTGACAATATTATTACACCACAATACTACTGAACACATTTGCATTTGTCGTTTTTCGACGTATAAAAAATATGAATAAGTAATAATTAATTATGATTGTATACTCTAAAAGAAAACAACATACAACTATATTGAGATATATTAACTTAAAGGTTATTGTTAAAAATCTATCTCGGTAATTATAAGTACAATATCAATGAAACTGTTGAAGATAACTGACCGTGTCAAAGTATCGTGATAAACTTTTGTTATTGATTTCATCTATGTTCTTTCGTGAGACTAAAGCAACAATGAAGAGCGAAATGAAGCTGTTCATATTCAGAGAAAATCTCTGTTCAGACACCATAATCTGGGGGCTCTGAACTGAAACTGACACAAACTCCAGGTACAAAGTACAAGAGTCACGGTTTGGCGTTTTCGCTTAAGCTTTGGAAGATATCAGGAGTGGAAAATCCCGTTGATGTTTTTGGTTACACACAGTTGTGCTACATCTCGTTTGAACAAAAAAGCTTGTTCTACAAATCTACATGTTCAGAAAATAATTTAATTGCATAATTGTCAACGAGTAGAATTTGAAGATAGTATTTTTCGAAATACCTAGAAAATTTTTTTCCAAAACCACGGAAAATTAGCCCTTCGACAGAAAGGAACGCAGATTCTAAAAGATATATTCCGATCTATTCAACCATGTACTTATCTCAAAATCAATATTACTGAGGAAATTTATCAGTCTTATAAGGGACGGAGACTTAGATTAAAACAGGCTCCTCGTAGAACGCTTTTAATACTAGTTTTGGTTAGCATGCAAGGCAGAGGTACACTGCCACTGTTCAGCATGTTGAGTAACATTGACATACTTGACTTGAAATATAACCGAGACCCACAGCATATCATGCCTATTTAATTAAGAAAAAGCATTAGCATCAATCGCGTCACATCGGATGTGAAAAACGTTTCTCGAGAGTTAACTGCTTAATAAAGAAAAATATTCTAGGTTGCACTTGCTGTTCTTGTCCTGATTTAATGATACTTTCTGACAATATTTATTCATCATATATGTCTTATGTCATGTGGGGGCTTCTTAACCCATGAACAACGCGTAGAATCGATACTTAATTTCAAATATATCCAAGCTCGATACGTAAAGAGTACTGGTACCGAAAGCTGTGACACTTTTGGTACCAGAGCGGTACCAGTGCCAGAACTGTGATAGTATTCGTAATTTGGTAACTATCAACGGTAATAATTGCTTCATTTACATTCTTTTACTACTTGTGCAGTTAGCAGTATGCACAAACTTAGTTCCTGTATTGTACTATATACATCTTACTATCATGAAAAACAAAAAGGAATGCCTTAGAATGAGTAAGTATGCATTCTGTATACACATACAAATACATATTATAAAAAGAAAATCTTCTCTTGTCGGACTTTACCGTGTATTATTACAATCAAAAGTACTGATGAAAAGAAGAAAACGGATGAAAAGAAAAAGTCGTCAAGAAAGAAACATCGTATTTACATCGTACTTTCACACGAAAAACATGGGTATAACTTTTCTTTCTTATAGAACAACAACAAGAAATCAATCTCATTATATCATCCTAACACTAAAGCATCAAAACTTCAAACTAGACATGTGCAAATACGTATTCTCGGTGTCTGAAAAGAATACTCTGCACCATTTTCTGAATAAAATTTGATAGAACTGAGATGTAAATCTGCAGCTTTCTGTCATTTGATAGACGACTCACTTCACAAGCAAAAATATTTTTATGGCATTTCTACTTGGCTCTCTTCTTCAGGCTTACTGTCTCTATAGTGCCTGCTGTAACCTCTACTGCCTCCCTGCATAACCGCCCGAGGTAAATGTTGTACCTTCGATTTCAAACGGATGAAGAATAACATGGCCAACACCACACTGCTAGATGCACCATCTATTACAAGTCTGATTGTAAGCGATCTACTTACATCGTAAATAGTGTCTCTCCGGTGAATCTCTCTGCATACATCAAGAACAACAACACTGCTGTCAAATGCCACTACTGATATATGGGAGTTTTAATCTAATTGCACATCACTATGTTATGTTCTTTTATGGGTTTCTGATTTAGTCTAGATTCCAGTCAGTCACATTTCAACTCCTTGAAAAAATAATGCCATCGAGCTCAATACTTTACCACAAATATCGCAGACCCCATCTTATGTTAAATTTTTCTCTTTTAAATATGCTTTCCTTCGAAAAATGCTGAAAATCTTATGTAACGGGTGACGCATAATAAACGGGGCACTTTTGTTCTTTATTTTTAAGGCACTTCCGAATGATCTAAAAATCTGGCTCTAGTCTCATTCGATAGAGAATTGAATTCTCCACAGAACCTGCTTTTTGAATCTCTGATAGCCTTTTTCTTGTTTGAGTACCACTCAAAATATTGAATAGTGCTAAATTCTCGAACTGCGACATACCGAAAACAGAAAAATATTTGCCTTGATCCCAGAACAGATTTCATAAGAATTTTGAAAACATCAGAAGATTCACCGGAAAA